AGGCTTAGCGAGAGGGAGACGAGACACTTCTTTCGGCAGATAATCTCTGCAGTGCACTACTGCCATAAGGTGAGAGGCAGAATTGGCTTTGGGGATTCCTCTCTCTGTTGTGTGTGTCAAGTGAAAGTCAATTCAGTTAAATAAAAAAACTGAGCCTGTTGGAACAAAAGAACATAGGGAGGAGCAAGATTTAAAGAACTATGATGCTTGGCTACAAGTCACATACCTCTGACTAAAACGGAGCTGGGATCTTTCCTTAATACAGTTTGCTGTGGTGGAGTGGGCAGCTTTCCAAGAGTCCTTAGGCTTGGACCTGTGACTGTTCTGTGACTATGTAACTATGACCTGGTTGCTTACTTCTTTTTTGGTCTCAGTTTCCCCTTCTATAAAATAATGAAGTTAGACTAGCTGATTTCTAAAAGCCCCTTCTGGTATTAAGAATCTATTGCCCTTCCCCTCCTCCCTTGTGAAAAAAAAAAACCAAAACAACTTTTTGACTGGTTGCTTGGGAATCACGAAAGCCCAGTTTCAGGGCCATTCTTTGATTTTCCATTGGAGAAAGCGATAGCACCCCAAAAGTGCCTTTGCTCTGTTGAATGAGGCCAAGGGCTACGTTGTCGTCTTTCTCTTCTCCCCTCCTTCTATTTACGCTCTCCTCCAGCTCCTCGTGTTGAGTTATGCTCAGCAGAGTGCCTGCTACGCAGTGCCTCCCTGAAAGCTGTCTGGGACTGGTTTGACTTTGAATGATTTAGAGAAAGCCTTGGCACCCCAAATGGACTTGTTCCTTCCTATTGACAGTCTTGGCTTGGGTAAGGTTAGAGGTTCCCAGATGCGAGAGGACCTGACAGGGGGAAATCAGTGCTTTCCTCAGGACTGATGTCAGCGGCAGATACTGTTTGCCGGTGTCTGGGAAGGATGTATTGCGTTCACACGGTGGAGTTACATTCCAAAAAAGAATCCCCCCCACTGTTTTACAGGCATTGGGGGAGAAACGGATTCCAGTCATTCTTCCCTTAACCACACACAGCAAGTGATTAATATGGCTCTTGTCACCGGTCCCTGGCCTGGGAGTGTTCTGACTGTAAAAACAGCCCCAAAGTGTAGATACAGAGACCACCCCTGCTGGTCCGATTCTTCAGTCTGTCCAATGTTTCCCTTTCTTGAAAGTCCTCCTTCCTTCTTCCTTTTCTCTCTCTGGCTCTGTTACTCTCTCATTCTTTCTGTCCCTCTCTCTTTGTTTTTCACTGACCCTGTCTCATTCTTTTTATTTCCGTCTCTTTTCTTCTCTCTCTCTCATTTTCACCATCCGCCTGTCCTTCTTTCTTGTTCTGTCTGTCCTTGTCTTGTTTTCTTTCTGACTCATTCCCTTTCCCCTGTCTTTCTCTGTCTCTCTCTCATTCTCCATCTCATTCCGTTTATTGTCATCTGTCTTTGCCTTATTGTCTTTGTCTCTTCATTCACTGTCCCGGTAGCATTCTTTCTGACTCATCCTTTTCTTTCTCTCTCCTCCCTGTCTCATTCTGTCTATCCCCATTGTGTTTGCCTCATTCTCTCTGTCTTATCGTTCGCTGCCCCCGTCACATTTTGTTTTGTTCTGTCTCCTCCCAACCTTCTCCTCATCCCGTGCCTCCTCTTCTTGTTTCAGAATGGTGTCGTCCATAGGGATTTGAAGTTGGAGAATATTTTGCTTGATGATAACTGTAATATTAAGGTAAGGCTCTGGGGTAATTGATGGATGTACAAGCCTCAGGTATGTCAACAAGGGAGTAGCTTCACTCCAGTTCTGCCTTCAGCAACTCTCACTTTCTAACTGGTTGCCAAGGAGTTGGGGATGTCCCTGTCAGAGTCAGACTTTTTTGGAGGTCTTTGGTCACCACCGAGCAGAGCTAGCTCACAGTACATCACGTAGCCTTTGGGGGGGATTTTAAGAGGTAGGGGCTGGACCCGCTCTTGAATAATATTGCGCATTTTCCACGTAAAGGGGTCAGTACCTCTACGAACTTGGCTTGAAGGGAAAGGTGATATTACAGAGTAGATTTGGAATCAAGACCTGGGCTCATATTCTACCATGGGCAACTCACTTCCTTTCTCTGGACTTAGTTTCTTCATCTGTAAATGAAGAGGGTTGGAGGCTCAAAATCCCATATTAGGAATGCCAAAAGCAACAGAGATCAAGTAGAGTTTGGCTTCATTGTAGGTTGGGAATCATTTTTAAGACACATATTTTATCAATGCACTTTTTTTGGTGGGGGGGGTAGGCAATGGGGTTAAGTGACTCGCCCAGGGTCACACATCTAGAAAGTGTCAAGTGTCTGGTCTGAGACCAGATTTGAACTCAGGTCCTCCTGACTCCAGGGTTGGTGCTTTATTCACTGTGCCATCTAGCTGCCCCCATTGATGCATTTTTGAAAGCATCACTCTCAATTCTCAATCAATGACTCTCCCTTCCCCTCCTCCTCTCCTCCTCTTTCCTTGTAACAAAAGAAACATGGGTAAGCTAAACAAATCAACATAACATCTTCATCTGATAAAAGTATGCTTTTTGTCCTCCCACTGAGATAAGGGATAGAATTAAACTCCATGAGGGCAGGATTGGTGACATTTTTTTCTTTCTCTTCCCAGAGCTTTGTTGAAACTTGCTTTATCAGCCACCTCTCTGCAGTCACAATTGGTCACTGCATCGTTCAGAGTTATGAATCCTTTCTTTCTTGTTTTCCTTCATGTTATTCGAGTCATAATGAAAATTGCTGATCCTGCTTACTTTTCTCCATATCAGTTTGTACAAGTCTTCCCAAGTTTCTCTGAAATCTTTTATGTTCATCGTTTTTCACAGCACAGTAATTCTCTTTTTTTAAGTCAATTTTTATTTCTACCTTTTGTTTTTACATCACCTATATTTTCCCAATTTATCCTTCCCTCTATCTCCTCCCAGAGAGTCATCCCTTATAACAGAGAATAATAAAGAGGGGAGGGGGAGAAAAGTAACAATTCAGCAAAACTAGCCAAGATTAAAAAAGGCCATTCATTATAAGCAGTGTTCCATACCCATAGTCCTCTACCTCTGCAAAGTGAGAAAGAAGATGCCTTTTCGTATCTATTCTTTGGAGCTAAGCTTGGTCATTATACTTTCCACGTATTTCTTTTGTTACTTGTTCTTTTCATTTATATTGTAGTCACTGTGTACATTGTTTTCCTGGCTCTGCTTCCTTCACTCTGCATCGGTTCATGTAAATCTTCTCATGCTTCTCTGTATCCATCACATTGATCATTTCTGATAGCACATTAAGATTCTGCTCTATTCACGTACCACAATATGGTTAGCCATTCCCCAGTTGATGGGCGTTGAGGTTGTTTCCAGTTCCTTACTGCCACAAAAAAAGACAGTAAGATCATATCCCATTATATCCACAGACCATGATTCCTTTAGCCATTCACCAGCCAGTGGGCACCCATTTTGCTTTCTGTCCTTTGCTGCTGCAGTAAGTGCTGCTGTAAATATTTTAGAATCACTGGGACCACTATCCTTCCCTGCCCATCTTCTATTCAGCTTCATTCCCAGCTCTCCACCAAGCCCCTGATAAAACAAATCATCGAGGCAGCATCAACATTTGCTTGTGGAAAAGAGCAAAGTATATTCATTGAAGAGTTTACTTTATAGATAGTATTATTGCTGGCGGCTGCTGGGGTTAGAAAAAACTTTCTTGGCCCACAGGGTTCAAGTACCTCCTACCGACTGCTCCGAGTGTCCTTTTGATCACGTCTAGAAAATAAGCAAATGCAGTTTTAAAATAAACCTTGGACGCCACATGAGCTTTAGTATGGAATGGCCTTAGGTCTCCAAGCACTGGCGGGACTTCCCAATTGGCCGTCCATGATGTCAGAGGCATGTCAGTGATCCCCAGACAAAGCATGGGAAGGGTCCTTCTCTGCCTCCTTTGTTGTTGTTTCTGTCCAGAGAACTGAGAGGCATGGGGAGAAGATTTCCTTTACACAGATGGAGTTGCTTTGGCCTTCCGGGTTTCTGTTTATGCACCATGATTCCCAGCTCCCATGGCTCTGTTACCTTTTTCACCCTCAATGAATGAATGGTCATCTTGGCTCAGTCTTCTCTTCCCCCAGTCTAATGGGCAATCCATGGGGGGAAAAGGAAGTGTCGGTTAAGGACAGCTGTCTGTAGAAACAGAGAAGGACAGTTTGGGACAATGGAGTCAGAGAACCTAGGTTCAAATCCCATACCTATGTGACCTTGGATAAATCACTTAACCTCTTTGGCCCTCAGTTTTCTCTTCTGTGTAATGAGTGGTTTATACTAGATGACTTTTAAGGTCCTTTCTGATATTAAATCTATGATCCAGCAATTGTAAGAAAAGCAAAAACACTTGAATTGGAGTCAGAAGACCTGTATTCCTAGCCATACTTCTACCCCCTCTTACCTCCTTGGGTGATCTTGGACAAACCATCATCTCTAAGCTTTAATGTCCTAACCTGTAATGGTGATAATGAAGTCCACACTCTACTTCATGGGGTTGATGTGAGGAAAAGATGAGATAATAAATTGGGGATCGGTGGGAAGAAAACTCTTTCTGGAATGGGAGGATCTGGGTTTATATGTGTGACCTTGGGCAGTCACATCAACCTTCCTGGGCCTCAGTTTCCTCATCTTTAAAATAGGGGGGTCGGGCTAGATGGCGTCTGAAGTTTCTTTCAGCTTGAAATCTGTCGTCCTATAATCCTATATAACTGTCCCCAAAACTAATGCCCAGCTATTGAGCTGGTTACTCACTTCTGTCCAAAGTGCAGGATTCTGAGTGGGTGTATCTTAATTAGTTTTAACTGTCAATAGAATGGAATTTGACCATATGGTGATGACTACCATTGTGTCTAGATCATGATAAGTGGTCTCAGTACTGCCTGGGTCAGCCTACATCTGGAATATTGGGTTCAGTGTTGGGTAGCATGTTTTAGGAAGGACATTGACAGATGGGAAGATCACTAGGTACCTGAAAACCATGTCATATGGGGCTGGTAGCTCAGAGAGCTTGGCGGTGTTGAGCTTGGAGAAGAGAGGGCTTAGAGGGTGGCCATGATGGCTGTCTTCAGATGCTCCAAGGGCTCTCTGTGGAAGAAGGTTTATATATATGAGGTTTTGTCCCAGAAGGAAGAACTAAGAAGGATTTAAAAGGAAGGAGCTTTTGACTCAATTTAAGAAAGTGTTTTCTAGTTAATTAGAACTAATGGTCATGGCTACTTTAGGAAGTACTGAGCTCTTATGGTACTATATGTGTGCAGACAGAGGCTGGGACTATATGTGTCCAATATATGGTACTATATGTGTCCAAACTATATGACTATATGGTACCATATGTGTCCAAACACCTGTCAGGGATGACTTATTAGGGATGCCTTGATGGGGGTAGAAATGTAATCTTTGACAACCTCTGAGACCCTTTCCAACTCTAAGGGTCTATAGCTTTTATTATATGGGGTAAAAGTACAGGAATGTACCTTTGAATAAACTAGTGATTTGAAACAATATAAAGAGATTTTCCATACACGGTATCTAATAAAAGGATATACTCTTGAGGATGAGTTGACCCTATTGCTTAAAGAATAAGGGTGACTTCTAAGAAGATTATCTCATTATTTCCTTATTTTGTTTACATTACAGCCATTTCTATCTTCCTCTTCCTCCTCCAACCTTCTCTTGAAACAAAAAGGAAAAAAAGTTAGGCAAAACCAATCCATGTATCTGGTAACATATGCAACATACCCTACCTTAGTCCCCCACTTCTCCAACGAAAGGAGGGAGGTGCATTCCCTCATCTCTCCTCCACGACTGAGATTGATTCATTATAATTACACACAATTCAGTTTTGTTTCATTGTTCTTTCTGTTTACATTCCTGTAGTTGCCTTGTATATTGTTCTCCTGGTTCTGCTTACTTTGCTCTGCATCAGTTCAGAGAAGTTTTCCCAGAATTCATCATCTTTTTATGTTATAAAATCATTTCTTTAATTCATGAATCTTTTTCTTTTCAGCCGTTCCACAACTTATGGGCACCCTCTTTCCTTCCATTTCTTTCCTGCCCCTAAAAGTGCTGCTATGAGTATGTTCTTGTATAGGAGCCTTTCCTATCTCTTTTCATTAGGAGGGAGGCAGTTAGGAACATTGCTTCCCTCCCCCATTGATTTCAAAACAAAAAAGAGCCTTTTTCAAGGCAGTGAATGAGCTGGGATTGGGTCTTCCAGCCAGGCATGACCTTTTGGTCTGCCTGATGTAGTGCCAGTAGAGGTAAGCCAAATAGCTTTCTAGCTAGTCATAAAATTCCCCAGTGGGAAAAGAAGAATGGCTACAATTCTACCCAGCGATTGGACAGGGACAATGAGCCGGAATCCTAGGAGAATGGCTGATTTGCATAAGCTAGAAAGGAAACTATGTCGGGTCAGACGGTTCAGTGGGAGCTGAGCGCATCCAGCCTGGGACCATTGTACCCCGGGTAGGCAAATTGCCTGGGGTAGCATTTTTAAAATGAAAATTCCGATGAGCCCAGACTCTGCCTTGTACTTGGACATTTGCCACTAAAATGAAAGAACAGAAAATGTATCCTTCACCCTAAGAAGCCACTGTATTTTTCTTTCCATCTGTACAAAGGATATCACCATCATTCATATATTTTATTCCTATTTTTTTAAAAGAAATTTTATTGACATCTTTTTTTAAAAATGGTGGTCATTTTTACATGCCTTCCTCCCCCCACCCCCCAACTCTCCCTAGTAACAAAAACAGCAGGTAAGTACAAACAACTAACATTATCAATCAACCTACAATGTGTCAGGCACCTTAATAAGGCACTGGGATACAAGCACAGAGTGCTTACTTCCAGCAATGGAGAATGTTGAGATTGAATCTGACAATCTATACAACATTCTGCCCAAGCATCCCCCCACCTCACTGCTGAGAGGAGAACGTTATCCATTCCATGGGACCATCTTTGGTTTTTCAAGTTTTCATTTAGTCTTTTAATATTACATTATCATTGTGTATATTCTTCTAGTTCTGCGTATTCACTCTGTATCAGTTCATAGACGTTTCCCCAAATTTTTCTGAATTCCTCATCTTTGCCAATTCTTATGGCACAATAATATTCCATTATGTTTGTGGTTTTGATGTACCATGGTACATGGAAAAACACTGCTGGCTCTGGAGTAAGAAGGCCTGGATTTGAAGTCCACCTCTCCTACTACCTATATGATGCAAACAAGGCCCCTCCTAGAAGCTGAGTTTTCTTATCTCTTAAATGAAGTGGTTGGACTACACCCTACCTCTGAGGTCTCTGTCAACTCTACAAATATGGTCTTACAGGGCAGCCAGGTGGCAATGGATAGAGCACCGGGCCCTGAAGTCAGGAGGACCTGAGTTCAAATCTCACCTCAGACACTTGATACTTACTAGCTGTGTGACCCTAGGCAAGTCACTTAACCCCAATTGCCTAAAAAAAAAAATATGATCATTGCCACGATGGGAATGATAGTGTTGGAATCCCAGCTCTGGTTCTTGATGCCTTTGTGACTTTGAGGAACTTCTCTGGACCTCAGTTTCTTTATCTGTAAAATGAAGGGATTGGGTTTGATGGCTTATAAGACCTCCTCCAGGTGTGTATCTATGATCCTGTAACCTTGGGGGCCAGAAGGAACCCTGAGATCCCAATCCACTTATTTTATAGGAGAAAACAACTTGCCTCTGATCCCCTAGTCATGCAGGGGTGGGGAGCCTGCAGCCTTCAGGCTGCATGTGGCCCTCTAGGTCCTCGAGTGCTGCCCTTTGAATGCAAACTTCACAGAACAAATCCCCTTAATAAAAGGATTTGTTCTGCAAAACTTGGACTCAGTCAGAAGGCCGCACCCAATGACCTGGAAGGCCGCCACCCCTGCCCAGTGCTTTGGCTGGGGAGCGGGGGCTTGCTTCTGGACTCCCCATCCATTGTATCTTCTTGCTTCCTGACTTTTGCTGCATTTCCTCCAGGCTTTGATTGGGTGATGGCCGTCTATTCCCAGCTCCTCCTGACTCAGCCTTTTTGCAGGAAACATTTATAGAAGGCATTTGCACCCAAAGATGAACACATGGCCGCAAGCTGGCCTGCAGGCCCACGATGCACAAGTTGGCTTTGCCTTCAGAGGTCGGCAGCCTAAACTGGTTTAGAGGAACCTAATAGGCGGCCTCTTAGGCAATCAGTGAGATGCCGGCAAACCGTTTCGATTTTGGAGGCCACCTCCTATAATACCTTTTACGATTTGGGTCGCGTTTTCCCCTTCCATGCTTAGAGGGGCCTCGTCACTTGAAGGCTTGCTCACATCCTGTGGATGCCCACTATGTCCCGTGGCTCCGTGGTCTCGACGTTGGCAGAGCGGCTCATCCCCCTTCCCTGGCTGAGCTTGATCGACGGTCCTCTGTACCCAGCACATCTGGAGCTGGAAATGCACTCTCTGGCAGTTGTGAGGGGCGTAGGTTCTAAAAATATTCACCCCCATCAGTCGTCAGGGAAAAAAAATGAGAGAGATGCACTTCTTCCTTTGGCTGCATTCTGTACTCTGTGGAAACCTTCCTCTGAAATGAGAATCCGGCGTGGTCTTTAGCTGGCGATTAATAACGATGGGAGAATGGAATGCTGACAGTTCTCGCATTTTCCTGCAAAGTGACTTGTAATGAGTCCACAATCCCAGTGGCCTCGGGCTGGGGACTTTCCTCAAGGGGGGCTGGGAAGCCAGGTCGGTGTCCAGACGCAGTAGGGGACAGACCCCTTGCTACAAGGGAAATGCTGTTCTTCTATATCAGAAAGTTGAAGGGATTGGTCCCAGAAGCAATATGGAAACCGGCAAGGACTTAAAAAACAGGCAAATTGGCCTTACCAGCACTTCACCACAGGAAGGGTCATCGATTTCAAGCAGGAGGGGACCTCCTGGGCCGTGTAGTCTGACCGCCTTATTTCACGGATGAGGAAACTTGAGCCCAGAAAAGCAGCAGCCAGAGATGTGACCGGGATCACACAGATGGGAAGCTCCAGAGATGGGATTTGCACTTAAGACTTGACCCTCTGGTGACTGTTCTTTCCACTGGACCTTGGGATCATGGGATCACAGACTTAGAGTTGCATTTGGAGCCAATTTCTTTATTTTATAGATGAAAAAACACTGGGGCCGAGAGAGATGACATGGCCTGCTTGATCAGCGTCACAAAGCTGATAGTCTGTGGTTGAACTTGAATTCAGGTGTTCTGATCGCCAAGTTCCCAGAACCACCTAGCTCAGGATTCCGTCTCTGCCAGGGGCCCTGAGAGAAGGCTCATGGGAGTCCGTGGCAGTTCCCTTCCAGTGACACCCTCTTTGATCTAGCACGGACCCCCAGGCTTGTTGATTATGGTGTTTCTGCCCCTCATGTCCTCCACCCCACTGGGTTGTCCAGCTGGATTACTCTTCTTACGTCTCTCCCTCTTGCATCCTTCAAGGCTAACCCAAAGTCTACACCCTTTTGAAGACTGTTAGTCATGAGGAATGTCCTGAAGCAGTCCATTGTACTCAGGGACAGCTCTCATAATTGCTTTTTCCTTTTTTCTTAAAAAAAAATCTTATTTTTATTGTTCTCTTCTGTTTAAAATTCCCTTCATTTTTGAATATTTCCCTCCCTCCTTACCCTACCCAGTGAGCCATCCCTTGTAACAAAGATTGTAAAATAAAGGGAGGGATGGTGGGGAGCATTTCATCAAAATCACCCAATACATCAACTGTGTCTGACGGCATATGCCGTACTCTGCATCCATAGGCCCCCTCCTCTTCAAAGACAGGGGGAGATACATTTTCTCGACTATTCTTTCAAGCCAAGATGGGCCATAATTGCACCGTTTTCAGTTTAATACAACCCAGTGGGGTGGAGGACATGAGGGGCAGAAACACCATAATCAACAACTAGCTGTTTGACTGTAGGCAAGTCATTTAACTCTCTGAGTCTCAGTTTCCTCAGCTGTAAAATGGGGATAATAATAGCATCCACCTCAGAAGGTGGCTATGAGGATCAAATAATATAAGTGAAGTGCTTTGTAAACCTTAAAGAGCTATATAATTGCTAGTTGTTATTGTCATTTCCCCCATTAATTAATTAATTTCCCCCCATTAATTACTATGACAAGCTCTTCGACATGTTTTTGTTTCTTTCATTGGCTGGACTTCAAGGCTCCTTGAAGGCAGTGACTGTTTCACTCTTGTATTTGTACCTCCAGCATGGTGCCTGCCATGTAATACATACATAATGATTATAATTTGTTATTATAATGAGTTGATTAATAAATAATTGTTGATTGCTTGACCCCATCTGTCCAACGAGGCTGTGGTCACCTCAGGTCCAGGGGCCATGTCCTGTGCTTTGTATCCCCCACAGTGCCTAGCACATAGTAGGTGCTTGATAAATATCAGTTGGATAACAAATGTGCAGCCCTGGTGGACCGCCATGTGCATTGCTGGGGGAAGCTAGTGAGTTGGTGCATTGGAGCATTGGAGTCTTGACTTCTAAGGTGTCTTCCAGCTCTAAATCAATGCCTCTGAGGAGTTAATCATTCTTCTCAGAGTGCTGGGTCTGGAGTCAGGAAGACCAGAGTTCAAATCTGGCCTCAGATACTTACTAGCTGTGTCAAGGTTATGTTCTTGTCTTGAGCAGGTGTGTTTATGGGGGTTCAAGCGGACCCTACCCTAGTAGAGTGTTGGATTTAGAAGTGTGGGGGCCAAATTTGAATCTTGGCTTTACTACCGAACCTATAACAGGGAACATAGGCCTCAGTTTCCTCATCTGTAAAATGAATAGGTAGGACTAGGGCTGGTAAGGTCCCTTCTGTCTCTAAATCTGTTATTCCACG